TCTAGGGCTTCTTCAGATTCCTGCCTGTCATTGCTTTCAGGGGGGAAATAGTTTGCTAAATATTGTGGAAGTTTTGACTTCAGCGAAGCTGAATAATCTTTGTCCTCTTCTTTTTAGCTCCATACTGTTTTGCATCTTCATCATCACCTGAAACAAATGAGTATCTTGGAAAAAGTGGGAGTATCTGCAGTGATGTCTCTGTAATGTCTTTTTTGTAGGTGTCTTTCATCACCTACGTTAATCTCTCCTTGCTCATGTTTCCTTTTCTTGTTCACTCTTGCAGGGCTGGAATCTGGTCACATCCCTGGCGCCGTGAACATACCCTTCCGCTCATTCCTAACAGAAACTGGCCATGAGAAGAGTATTGAGGAGATCCAACAAATATTCCGTGAGAAGGAAATCGATCTCTCAAAGCCACTGACGGCCACGTGCCGCAAAGGTGTCACAGCATGTCACATTGCCTTGGCAGCCTACCTGTGTGGCAAGCGTGATGTGGCTATTTATGACGGTTCCTGGTCAGAGTGGTTCCACCGTGCCCCACCTCGCTACAAGGTCTCTGAGTTGAAGCGCAACAAGGCCTAGAGGGAGAGCTGTTTCTTGGGCAATGAGATCTAGCAGCTGCCTCCAGCCCAGGATACAGGGAAAGGGAGGAGATGGAAGTAAAGAAAAAAACATGCCGATTTATGTTTTGCCAGTTTTTCTAAGAGTGATCGGTAGATTTCTGTCAATCTTTTGGTTTCTCACAATGAATAAAATCTACTTCTAAGATGATGCATCTCCAAATATTTCTAATTCTTCTCTGTTACCTGTGACCTGCTTGTGCTGGGTGGGAAAAGCAGCTTTGCAACATGAAGGAGAGTTGCACTCTTCCCTGGAGACTTGCAGAAATTCTGGTGACCTGGTGAGAGCTCAGGTCTGTGGTGGCACTCAATGGATGAAAAGTCCAGGGCTAAAATATAGCACTGGGTGCTGGACACAGAGGACCAAGCTGTGGTTCTGTCATTGACTCAGTGTAAGACCTTTTGCCAGCCCACCATCTCCCCTTGTCTAATGTGCAAAATGGGGGCACCTTCCCCTTCCTCTCTGATGGGGGTCAGTGAGCTCATATGAAGCATTTGGAAATGCTAGAAGATGCAGTTCTGCTGAAATATAGTCTTGTTGATTATTGTTACTGTGTTATGAAAGTCTCTAAGAAATCCTATGTATGTAGTGAGACCTTCTGGGTACAGGTGTTTCATGAGACATGAGCCTTTTACTCTCCTCGTTTTCCTTTTCAGTCAGCAAGGATGACACTGATCTCTGCCATGTTTCTTCTGGTTCCCGTGGAGACCACAGCTCATAGATAGAGGGAGGGTTGTTCCCTAGCAACTGTCTCTGCTCTTCCTCAGCCTTCATCCCACCTCCATATCTGGACTTCAGCAGGACCTGCCTGCTTGTACAATTCACTGTGGCACCACATCAGGGATCATGGACCAGGTGAGAGAGGTAGTTATGGAAGAGGCTTTGCCTCTTGTTCAATCCTGGATCTTTTCTATTTTTTTATAACAAAAAAAAAAAAAAAAAGAAAAGATCCAAAGTCATTTTGACACCTATGGGGCTTCTCAGGTCTGGAAAGTCACTGAAATCTCCTCATATTTTGGAGGCCTAGACAGATAAGGGAGGCATATGAGACCATTCTTGACCACATCTGGTGGCTGGTGAGAATGACATACCTATTCCTACACCTGTCAGAGGAGGTTAATTTTCTGCCTGGGAAAGACTGCTCCCTCTTTCCTCCATGGCTCCATGTCAGGAAAGTCAGACGGTTAGGCTATGCTAAACATACAATTTTTGTTTTCTTTTTCATTCAGAAAAAAAAATCAAGTTTAATTATTTTTAGCTCTTTGATCAAAATATGTCTTTTATGGTATGTCATCTGTTGTCCCTCACAGAATTGACTTAGCAAAGGAATAAGTAGACATAGTTCTGTGGCTTCTGGTATCCAGGAGGATGGTCAAATGGCCTTTAAGTCCTTCTTGGCATCAAGACGTAGGAGTCTCAGAATGGTGCTTTCTTTGACTTTGGACCTTCAGGCTCAGAAGTAAAATGAACAATAAGCAGTAACAATAACATCATACACAGTTGCAAACTAGAAAGTAGGAACAGTTGGAGGCTTCAGCATCATTTTATCCAGGAGGAACTGGGGAAATTAAAGTTATCAATGAACGGGATTTTGGAAACGAGCACATTGCCTCATTACAAAGAAATTCTGCTTCGTTGGAAGAAGTGGGAGAGGAGGAATTTCTACAACAGCAGACTGGAAAGTTCTTTCCACTGAATATAGTAATAATAACAGACAGACATGCTTTTCTTTTAAGTGGGAGGTGGGAGTTAACACAGGAGTTTATTTAGCAACACAGATTCCTTCACATTGATCATGTGTAAATGTTTGGCTCTTCTTTAAAAAGAATGAAAAATGATACAGAAAAGAAACGGATCGTGAGCAAGGACTGGCTTCCTCTCTTCATCTCTTGTGGACTTGTTCTTTTTGTGGGAGAGGTTCTGTCTCTTAACACATTTGCAGAGCACACAGCACTGACTCCTGGAGTCTGATAAAGTAACTTCAGCTTCAGGATCCCAATATTGTACCAGACATGCTGCTGCAAAGTACTGGCACAGTGTAAAATATAAGCTGCTGGTTCAAGTCAGTTGGTGAGTTAACTTTGAAGCAGTAGGCTGCCTGCCCTGTCGGGTGGTGTCTTCATTCCAATAACTAACCTCAAGAGCAGAAGGTAAGCATATTATGTCATGTCATGAGCTAATTTGACAAACGCAAACATGTATCCCTACCTGATCCAGATCCCATTTGTACTGCTGCTAGTGCCAGCAGGCTCACAATTAGCATATTCACCACCATGGGCCATGGCTTTAGTTGTAACCTGTCTGTCTGTCGTGGTTTAACCCCAGCCAGCAACTAAGCACCACCCAGCTGCTCACTCACTCCCCCTGCACCCAGTGGGATGGGAGACAGAATCAGAAAAAAAAAGTAAAACTTGTGGGTTGAGATAAGAATGGTTTAATAGAACAGAAAGGAAGAAACTAATAATGATAATAATAACAATAATACAATTACAATAATAAAAGGATTGGAATATACAAGTGATGCACAATGCAAATGCTCACCACTTGCCGACTGACGCCCAGTTAGTTCCCAAGCAGTGATCCCCCCAGCCCCCTCCCCCCAGTTTATATACTGGACATGATGTCACAAGGTATGGAATACCCATTTGGCCAGTTTGGGTCAGCTGTCCTGGCTGTGTCCCCTCCCAACTCCTTGAGCCCCTCCAGCCTTCTTGCTGGCTGGGCACGAGAAGCTGAGAAATCCTTGACTTAGTCTAAACACTACTTAGCAACAACTGAAAACATCAGTGTGTTATAAACATTGTTCTCATACTAAAACCAAAACATAACACCATACCAGCTACTAGGAAGACAATTAATGCTATCCCAGCTGAAACCAGGACACTGTCACAGGTTTCACATGGGCTAAGCCTGTAGGGCCCCGCTGGGATGAGGAACAGAGGCCATCAGCAGGACACGACTGAGGGTTACACAGACATTCCCTCTTCAGGAAAGACATGAGTTTCCTCCAAGTGCATGAGGCAGTTTGCAAAGGCTGGGTGCTGGATCAATCACATCAGCAGGACTAGCAAAGCAAAATGGGATAGTCTGTGCCAGAATCAGGGAAGAAACCCTGTCTCCAGCCTGTCTGTCTTCCTTTGCATAGCCAGCATTGCACAGGCATTTTATGTTTATCACCTCCTCTCCCCATTTTTTCTGGCCTTACTTCAATGCACCAAAAGAAGGAACTGTTATAATTGTACAGCACATGACAGATCTGACATCTCTAGGTGCTTCAGAATAAAAAACGGCATTTTCACTGAGGTTTTTTTCCATTTTGGCTTGTGTCTGCACCACTGCCTGTGAAAACTCTTGCAGCCCAGTATTCCCCAGAGGCACTGGCTGGTCATGTCCTAGGCAGGCTGTCCCATCTGAGCTGTTAATGTGAAATCCTGCAGGACTTCCATGCTTTTTCAATCTAAGAGGATCATGGGTTGTAGGACCGACCATGCAGGCAGGCAGGGACAGCTCTATCTTGGTCTAGGAAGGTGTATAACACATTTCTGTGAGAATAATCTACGTCATTTAAAGATGGTCAGGACCACTGTCCCCTTCTTTCCCATCTCTGGACCTGACACAGCCTTTGTTTCTCTTCCAAGGGTGTGCTAGAGGTTCCAACTTCCCTTACACCTGATGTGGCAGAAAGTGACACTGTGCTGACCAACAGCAGTTCAGGTAAGCAAGATGGCAGAGAAGCTGTCCCTCCTTCAGAGCTTGCGTTGCAGTACAGCTCGTGAGGCTGTGTGTCATTCCCTCCCTCCCTTCATGCCATCCAGATTTGCATGTACCTCTGTGGGTGAAAACTACTCGGACAGAAATCCCATGGGCCATGGGCTGATGGGTTAAAATCCCCCTGCCCGAGAGTGTCTTCCTCCACTGGTGGACTTGTCTCAGTACCTCCCTGCATGAGCTCAGTAAGCCACTGATGTGCTGTAAACTCATCAGCAAATACCGATGAGTCACAGAGACTATAAATGCATGTTCATGAGAGTGAGAGTGATCATGGGTTGGAGGGGCCCCTACACATAAGAAAACACAGACCTTTGTGGGCGTGTTTGACCACAAGATTTTTACTTCCACACTTGTGTGCATGTTCATCTCTGAAGAACATTTAAGATTCCTCAGGAACCTTCACCTTGTTCAGCAGGAAGATTGGTATAATGCTGCTAGGTTGTTGGGTTTTAGTCTTTTCTTTCCCTCTTTGAGACCTTTAATGTTTCTTTTGTTGTCTAACAATGACACAATGACATGTCCGGTTGTTTCCAGCTCCATTTACAGTACCATCTGTCATCAAAAGAGTATCAAATTCATTGAGCTATTATTTTTGTCTTTAAGTGGAACCTGAGGAAGGGAAAAAGGAGCGTCTTCCAGAAGGCTTATGTCCCAGCAGACAGAGAACTTCCCAAAGGAGCTCTAGCAGAGCCTCCTGGAAGATCTGCAAGGGCCCAGTGGCTCAGGGAACAGCAAAGGATTCCACATCTGTTAAATACCAGGCATCTCCTTCTGCAAAGTGTGTTCAGACTAAAAAACAGAACAAACAGAGTCTCCAGGCCAAAACTCTCCCCATGCAGAGTCTTGATTTAAGAAGACTTGAAGAGGAAATAGAAGATACTTCTGCCACCAAAGACCCAATAGTGGGGCATGAGCCAAGTCAGAGGAACAGCACTTACTGCCTGTCTGCAATATCCAGGCAGAGGGAAGCAGAAGACACGAAACCTGTCTCAAATGCCAAAGAACCAATAGCAGACCTGCACCAAACACTGAGGTCTAGAGGGCCTGGATCTTCCCAGAAGACCATCAAAGCTAGCTATGAAAAAGCCAAGAAGACCAACAGCAGATTAAGTGCCAAAGAGTCCTTAGCTTCATTAGGGCCAGATATGAAAGCAGAATGGAAGCTTCTTCTGGAGAAGAGAAACAGCTTGATCCATACTAACAGCAAATACAAATTTGCCAGTGCAGATGAACTTACCAGTGATGAAGAGGTATTGGGGGAAGCCATTTCATGTATCCTTTGTGGCAGGTTGAAGGCTGTTTTTATGGTGTAGCAGGGGGCTGAGTGCGTGGGATATTAGCAGTATATTAGCAGTTTCTGTTAGCAGTATATTAGCAGTTTCTAGAAGACATGTAGAGGGATGGATTTGGGCTTCACACTATGGGGCAGTGACATTCCACAGATAGCCTTTCCCATGTCTTTTTAAATTTTGTTTTTCCATCCTTCTTTCATTTATAAGGTTCCTGTAGCCAGGCAGAGTCCCAACTCAGCAAGGCAAAACAACGTGGGACCAGGACCCAGTCCAGGGCCCAACACTGCCATCCCTTTCTAATTCCCCCCCTTTTTACCAGTGCTAGTCATCCCATGCATTTACAATGCCTACAGAAGCTGCTGAGTGAGACTCAAGGTCAGACCCAGGTCCCAGGGATTAGTCATAACTCAAAAACCTGTGCAGGCGTGGAAATGCCAGGAGTTTGCTGCACGTACGGAACGTGGACTGACAGTGGTTCCTTGTTGTTTGTGTTTTCAGGAACGACAAGCTCTGTGCAAGACAGCATTAATCATGGGACAGAAAAGACTCAGCGAGCGTACTGTAATGCTAAAAAACTCCTTGAACTCTACATCTTTTGATGATTACAACCAGCTGGGTTTTAACCTGAGATCAAATATCTTCCAAGGTGAGGGGACACACATACCTATGCCTGACCTTCAAAGCTAGTTCCATCTACACTTTGCCTGGCCTCGGGGCAGCCACACTGCTTTGGGTAGAGACCTGACTGTAGGTGACCCTCACTTCCCCCTCTTACTCCTTCTATCCATAGTCACTGCTTTTCCAAGCTCTGGTGCTTGAGGAAAGGAAAGCTAGAGCCTCCCTTTCTGTGTATTCCTTTCTTTTCTTTCACTCTTTTTTTTTCCTAAGGTGTGAAAAGTGAAGGTGTGTCATGACCCCTGTCCTCCATGTTTGGAGCTGTCCTAATGAACACCATTTTTAATTCAATGTCCCCTGTCATGTCCAGTCCCAAGTTACCTCCAGTTGCAATACTGATGTTATTTCTCTTCAAGACCTTTAGAGATGTGTGGCTCTGAAATGTCTTCCCCAAACTTCTGTTTCCAAGGTCCTCAGGGATCCCTCCATCTAAACAAATATCAGGAACTAAGCATTCATCCCATTCTTGTTACTGTCATATCCAAGAAACTGAAATAATTGTCTCCGATTCCAGTTTCTCACATGCACCAGCATGAGGCAGATTCCTTTTCCTTATACAGTATGTTCCATGACAAGACCTTGCTGGGTATTGAAGACTGCATTGTCCTGGGTTTGCGCAGTCACCCAGAAAGGAAGGACATCTTTCCCCAGGGAGCTCAAAATCATTATTAGCAAGGGAAGGGTATAATGAAAGGGTAGGTGAAGAGGAAAGGATGAGAGATTAAAATAAAGCCCCCTCAAATGGCTAAAAGTCAAGAGGGGTTAAAAAGAGAAGTCACAGTTGGGAACTATTTGTTAAGTGTCATGGCAGAAAAGGAGCTCAGGAAGGCCTGGAGTGGTAAGATGGTGCTTTTTGTGGAGCTGTGCTGCTGAATAGGAAGTTACTCACAGGAATGAGGAGATTCAACAGGAGATAAGTGGACACTTGACTAAAGAAAGGGCACTGAGATACAAATCAAGATGATACCTCTGCATGTGTCATACTTGAGGATGAAAAGCAGATAAATTGGCAAACAGAAGCTCCACCCTGGGTGATGATGAAGCTATTATTCAGCACCTAGCCACACACCTGATCAAAAGTATTTCAGTCAACACATGCCTTTTCTTGAGCCCTTGAAACTGCTGATGTTGCTCCCCTGCTCAATTCCAGGACTGCAGTAGGGCGATTTCTGCGTACAGTTCCTTATTTGCTGTTCCTTGCAGGTGGCCCACTGGAGAGCCGAAGCTTGATGAAAGATTCCTACACCCCTGATATAATTCAGAAGGCAACCAGGGATCCCAAGAATTGGCACGGGAGGAGGACTGATGAGCTAGGTATGGCTTCTGCCAGGAAAAGTACATTGCTGAATTCCTGAGATGGGTGCTGCTTCTGCCAAGGATAATGGATGGGTTTGGGCAAAGGTGCGGGGGGACTAGAAATTGGCATTTTCATGAGAGGGGAGCTCTAGAGCTAGAAAAATCCTTGACAAATGATAACATTAGAAGGGAGGCTGTAACTGAACTATGATTTGCCTTCTTTACAGGGAAATGGCATCAGAAAAATGCCCTAAATCTCAACCTGCAGAAAACATTGGAGGACAAATATGGGAAGAAAAAAGGCAAGCCTTAGAAGATGAAGGTTGAGGATTGGAGTGCATTCAGTGAGGGATCTTTTTCCTCAGCCACTTAATAAACCTCCATATAAAGCATGAACCCATTGCTTGCTAGTTGTCAACAGCAGATTTGTTGCTGGTGCTCTTTTCCCCTCTCAGTTAGGGTGTCTTTGGGGAGAGCAATGCAAGATAAATTTGAATGTGAATACAAAAAAAATCACTTTGTTGGTCACTGATAAGGTTGGCCTGATCAGTGTGTGAGGCACACACCCTTGCAGAGGGATGTGGTGGTGAGAGAAGGGCCACAGAGAAATTCATCTGCTCAGCACATAAGGCGAAATAGGAGCTGTGAATGGTGTGAGAGGGCGATGGCAGGGGGGTTGCGTGTGTGTGCATACGTGTGTGTGCATACGTGTGTGTGCATAAGTGTGTGCGTGTGAACTCACGTTTGCCAGAAGATTCATGATATTTTAACAGTTGCCCTAGCACTCCAGAGAGAAGTACAGAGGATTCACTGGGAATGAACCAGGGTTGCCCAAGGACCTGAATGCCGCCTACCTCTCCCCACACTGAAAGCTGTAAAACTCCCACACAGGGAAGCTTCAGAGCTGTATGTACATAGCAGCTAGACACACCAAGCAAAGAACCAGCTCCCTGTCGATGCTTCCGAGGTGAATTCAGGCTTTTGCCAGAAAGGTACCAAACGGTGTCCACTCAATAGCCTGGGCAGAACTCTATATGATTGGTACCAGATGGCTACGTGGGGTAGGAAAGGAGGGTTCTCTGCCCACCACTCTAGTTTTGTTGTTATATCTGCCACATGGAGGATTTCGGGGAAAGCCCTTACCCAGGCAGGGAGCAGCAGTAATGTGCAAAACCAAACAGAAACTCACCTGAGGAGGCATCAGCTTATTCACCAAAGCCCACACTATTTGCAGGCCAAGCCAATGCAAAAAAAATTCTGACTTCATGAAAGTAGTGAAGGAGGTTAAAATGTAACTAATGATAATCAAGTGCTCAGCTTATCCACCGAAAGGGAACAGGAAAGCTGCAAGAAGCCCCAGGCCTTCTCCAATCTGCAAATCACCCCACAATGTGAATGGACCCTTACTGAGGCTCTCACAAGCCCCACTCACCCCGTCAGCCGTTTTCCTAACTCAAAGGTGTGTCAGAGGGAAGCACACGTGTCCACCACACAGTCTGCACAATCTGAAGTTCAGAGAGTGCATCTGGACAGTAGCCAAGGAGCACCCAGGGGCTTGAATGATGCAGGACATGCAGGGTCTTTAGGGCTTCCTGATGTGTTTTTCTCACAGTATTTAATGATCGTTATTGCAGGATCCTGCCATCCAGCTCCAAAGTGTAGCAGTTTGGTGCAGCAATCACAAAGTACGTGTCTGGGAATAGTGATGCCCTGATCTTTCCCGTCTGGTCCCAAGCTTTTACCATTTTAAAAGATTGATGCTTTGTTCGCTGATATGCACTCTTTTGGGGCAGAATTAGGATTGTTACCTCACCCTTCATTGGCTGGCGATTAGATAGCAATATGCTGACTTCATGAAAGTAGTGAAGGAGGTTAAACTGTAACTAATGATAATCAAGTGCTCATCATTTTCTACCACAAATAATTAACCATTTGGAATTCAGATGTTTCCAGGCACATGTCCAAGTCTTTCAAATTAAGGAGACCGGCCAAATGGCAGCTTGTAGAAACCTCCCTGTGGGTTTTCCTTGTACATCAGAACCAAGTGGCTCCTGCCTGAGCACACGCCACTCGAGCTTCAGCTGAACAGTGCAGCTCTGTAGGAACACTCTGTTCTCTGTGTTGCATCCAGTGCTGATGACCAACGTAACTCCAGGTACATAATAAATGCTGTCTTCTGAGACCGCAGCAGGTCCTAATCCAGAAAACATGGAGCTGAACAGAAATCTACTGACATTGTTTGGCGTAGTGGAAGCAGGCAGTTCAGGGCATGGTTAGCTAATACACAAAACATAACGTGGGCTGAATCAGCACATAGATTTACAGATCTATTTCTAATAGACATTAGACATTCTAATAGACATTAGAAATAGATATTAGGGCAGGCAGAAAGTCTCGTGAAGAGACTAGATCAGAAGGGGAACGGACTACACTCTGCCACAAACTGTGTTGTTTGCCTCCTGCAGTGGAGTAAATTCACTTTGTACACTTTTTACAAATTAAAATATTTCTATAAGTACTTAAATAGTACAAAATAGTTGGCATTGTATAATGCATTCAGATGGGTGAGAGCTGTTTGATGCCAGATGTACAAACAAGCGGCAATCCTTCTTCATCTTCTTTGCTTTGCCAAATGTTACAGCTTGTCTGAGAGGTGACACACCAAAAGCTGCAACGATAACTGAGATGATAGCTTTCAGTGAGACAGCGCAGCTATGGGAGCAATCAATACCTGAAGCCTCTGAGTGCTGAACAGACTAATTTAGCCAGAACCTTGGCAAGGAGCATTACCCTGTGTGGCACACTGTTGACTAGAGTGCTTCGGGTACCCAAACATGCGTATTTAAAGCCAGCTTTGGAATCTCCAAGTAGCACGTCACACGCGGTTAGACAAGAACAAGGCTGAAGTAAGTGCTCACTGCGGCTGAAATCTCCCTTCTACCCATTGCTCTGCTCTCAGCAGTTCATTCCTTTTTGCTTGTTTTGTGCTGGTGCTGGCACTTCCCTGCCCACACTCTGAACCGATTCAACTTGATAATCCAGCAGAAAATCAATACAGAAGAAAAAAGTAAAGTTAACAGGTTAACAAATGAAATTTTCTAAGCAAAGGACCTTGTTGCAGGCAAGGCAGTGGGTGATGGGGTATGCAGATGTTGGGGAAGAGTGGTGGGGGAAATGGCCTTTCACTGCCTTTTTTATGTAGTGAAAAATTAGTTGGCCTCTGTTATATTGTCTCACCGAGCTCAGCACCCCGCAACATAGGTAGCTTGTATTTAAGTGATTGTACAAGGTCTGATCATTGGGTGGCAGCTCTGAGCCAATGTTTTTACCTGACAGGGCAGAACTTGGAAAAAAAATGGATTCTTCTCTGGTTTAGCTAAACCATTCACCAAAATAGCTAAGAACTGTTTCAGTCATCTATTAACAGTCAATGCACTTGAAATATAGATACTCATACTATAGCAATTTGAAATAGAAGAGACAAATTGCATCCAAGCTTCTGCAGCACTCCCCTCATACCTTCTGTTTTTCCTGCAGTAATGGGTATTTCCCAGTTTAGGTTTATGCATCCCTGCAGTTGAGGCACAGATCATTTTGCAGGATATCAGTTTTAATAAAGATTTCCTGTTCTCCAGCCAATCTTTTTTTTTTTTCCTTTTCATTTAACCCTCTGACTTCTGCCTATCTCATGCTATCCTGAAGGATTCCAACCTTTGGTATCTCCACTGCAAATGATTTTGAATGGTTCATTAAAGAAATGGTAACAACTGTAAGAACAGGAGATAGTCACTGCAAGAACTCTGGTAAGAGTCTTCAGCCTGCTATTAAATTCAATCCTTTATGCTGTAAAGCTTGCACTGAAATAAAACTTAAATTCAGAGCTACATCTATCCTGAGGTAAGCCCAGTATTCCTAAAAGAATGAGTTCTTACTGCTGATCCTGCCTATAATGGGATAAAAGAGAAATCCAGCACTGCTTGAAGCAGCTAGAGATCACAACAAAGTGGGAGCAAGTGAATTGACTTCAGTGGATTTCACTCTCAGGCACTGGGGTTGAAATACAATTGTGTCTTAAATTTAAAGATATTTAAAACACTTATCCATCAAGAGAGAATGGTGTTTTGAGGGTTAGGGATTACCTGTGGTGTTCCCCTTGATAGTAGTACAGCAAAGGAGCCATGGAGCAAGAAAGTTTAATAAACCCAAAACCCAAATGGTGTGTTCCTCAGGGTTCTCTTTGGGTTTTGTTTGCCACAGACTCCACTCTGAGCATCTGAAATGTTGAGGGGGCAGTGTGGGACTGCGGACAGAACCGAGGCTTCATGGGCTAAAGCTGCCAAGAGCAGCGACCCAGTATCAGAGGTGGGATACTGCACTTGGAAACAAGTAAGAGAGGTTTAAGAGCAACATCTCCGTACAGGTGGACAGTGGAGTCTTTCAGCTCTGGGCAAAACAGGGGAGTGGGCTACATTACCAAGAAGCTTTCAGGTTATTTCTGATTTTAGTACACAGGTCTACCAGTGTTTATGCAGAGTTGCCATTTTCTCTCTTTTAATAAAATTCCTTTTCTTTTAAACCCTTGGATTCATTGTTCTTGAGCAGGAAAACTGATTATCCAGGCTCATTATGTGCCCAAGCAAAATCATTTTCTTTTCCTATAACCTGAGAGGGTTGAACTGAAATCGATTACCTATTTTTAGAAAGGAGTCCTAGCTAAATCTGGCTTCTTCCCCTGCCAATCACAACAGTCAGGGGAATGAGAAGCAAGACTATCTAAATGCAGGTACATGGGAATTATGGCCTGTCCCTTTTACCAAATACATCAATATAACTAAGAAAGGAGTAGGGTCGCTTGAGATCTTTCACCATGTTGGACTAGAAGCTGGACAGGAGAGGTAGCATTTGTGGAAAGAAAATGGGATTATAACGGTGTAATTTTTCAAATTTTTGTCTTGGTTATCTAAGACCCCTACAACTCCAGCAGGCTTTGCTGAGTCTCAGAGCTGGCTACTTTCCTTTCCACAACAGCTTTCTTTAGTATTCTGAAGATCTGAGTGACCTCAATATTCTGTGCATTGTCTTCCTTGCCACTGATGGATCCACCATAATGTGCAGGATATCTGATCATTTTAATGCAGTTCCAAAATTTATTTACTTGGGGTGGTGGGTTGACCTTGGCTGGCTGTCAGATGCCCACCAAGCCGCTATATCACTCCCCCTCCTCAGCTGGACAGGGGAAGAAAAAAGGCTGTGATGAAACGCTGGTAAGTCGAGATAAGGACAGGGAAATCACTCAGCAATTACTGTCATGGGCAAAAAAGACTCAACTTGGGAAAATTAATTTAATTTATTGCCAATCAAAATCAGATTAGGATAATGAGAGATAAAACCAAATCTTAAACCACCTTCCCCCATGCATCCCTTCTTCCCGGGCTCAACTTCACCCTCAATTTCTCTACCCCCTCCCCCTGAGGGGCTCACGGGGAGACACTCATGGCAAGAGTGGTCACTGGGGGGGCTGGGGCTCCTGTGAGTCACAAGGTAACCCCCCAGCAGTGACAAGTGGTGGACGGTTGGAGTCACCGGCTGATGGCAGTAACAGGCTCTCTGTGGTGACGTACTCCAAGGGGCACTGCTGAGGAGCCGTGATACAGCTAAGAGCCTTTGGAGATTTCTGCTCTTCTGTTCTCACATTCGTGCCTTTCCCACTGGCTGGTGGGGCCGGTGAGACTTCTTCCTCATCGTCAAGGTGCTGCATCATTTCCTTCTGACCTGGGAGCAGGAAGGGCTGTGCAGGACCTGCTCCCGGCTGTTCTTGCCTTTGCGGAGCCTGGGAACAGTCTTCCTTTGGGAGGGTCACATACTGAAGGGAAACTGATTTCTCCCGGACTCCCACTGGGTCCACTCCCAGGGTCGGATGCATATCAGGCTGGGAGGATGCCACTGGGCCGTACAAGTATGGACCATTGAAAGCAAAGCAAGGGATTGCTCTCTGGGAAGCAACACTTGCATCAGCACTGTTTCTCCTCGAAACAGGAAAGGAATGACCAGCAATCTGACGTGAGCAGGCAACTGGGGCGTGCTCTGGCTCATTTAAAGCATGGTAGGAGTTCTGTAGGTCCAGTGCAACAGGGGAAACATCTGTCGTCTTAGCCTGCCCTTCAGGGGACTCTGCCAAAGTCTTCGTCTGCCTGAATGGGGGAAAGTTAAAAGTTGCTCCTGAGAGATATTATTGTGGTAAACGTTCACTATAAAACAAGCTTAGTTGAAAACACACATAGCTACACACAGGGTTAGAAAAAATCTTTGTTGGAGAAGCAGGCTAACCCAGATATCCCTTCCTCAAAAGCAACTTGTATACGCTTTTTCGTGACAGAACATTTGATTATATCCTGCCGTGACTTAGGGAGCTCTTTGAGAGACTATCATCCACAGTGTCACCATAACGTGCTGTTCACTCACCTGTCCACAACTTGAAGGAAGCTAGCCTGCTCCATCTTCTCGGAAAGGTTGTATTTGTTGAAGTCCAGCTGGCTGCTTGTTGGCTGGTTTCCTAAGGGTACTTTCTGAAAAATGAAAAAGCAGACGTGACAAAAGAGCAGTGTCTCACTGGCAGTAGAATCGAGAACCATTTCTCATGGACAAAGACAACCAGCAGGAGAGCCTACAGCATCTGGCAATAGGGATACAACTTCACTAATATGACTAGAAGATGTGTCCTGTTCTCCAGAAGATGGCTACTTCAAACCCATACTGCCTACCACTGACCTAATGACAAGTACTCAGTGAGCCAACTAGGAAAGATGCCCTTCTAGACTTGTTATTTACGAATAGGGAAGGACTCGTGGGAGATGTGATGGTAGTGGCTGTCTTGGCCACAGTGATCACAAAATGACTGAGTTTAAAACAAAGCTAAGGACACTAGATTATTTCAGTCAGTTAAAATTTTAAAGTACTGAAAATTTTCTAGCTTGATTTTAAATCACAGTGATGCTGACAAGATCAACACAAAGAAGTCTACTAGGATAAATGTAAGAACACAGTTATCTTGAATGTGACCAGAACTTCTCCGAAAAATAAGCCATAGACTAATGAAGCTATCTGTTCACTGGGGACTAGGAGACAAGAAGAGCTCTTAAGATTACTGGAAGTCCTGAAACAGAGAGAGAAATAACGAACCCTTCACGGTACAGTTCCCTCTTACCCCCAGGTAGCTCTGGATCAGGAGACTCTTGCCGGGGTTCGGAATCTTTGCCTCCCACATTTTCTTCTTCCTGCAACAACAACACAGAGTTTGCAAGATTTGGTTCTCAACGTGGCTGCAACCGGAAAAGACTGCGCCCCGTGCACCGTGCTGCTCTGCACAGCGAGGCACCACCGAGGCCCTGGCACGCCACCACCCAACTCCCACCCTTGCACAGACATGCACAAGGCTGCCCATCGCACACCAAGGCTCATCTCCACACAGACGTCTCTCTCATGGCGCACAAGAATTGCCTCAGCCTTTATGCCACCCACATGGCCAACACGCTGCTAAATCTCCTCGTCACAACGCAAGCCTACCTGAGGAAATACTTAGAGCTGCAATAAGCAACTGTTAGCAAAGTGATGATGAGAACTGGGAGCATCACTGGGAGAACCACTGGTGGCAGAACTGAAACAGAGGAAAAAGAAATAGGTATCCACCTGCAGTATGGCTGCTTCCCATAACAGGTTTTTCACTCTTCATGCAAGCAGATCAGGCAAACGTAGGTGGCGTGTCAAGGGATACGATCCTGAGGCCTTCAAAATGTTGGGATACCCTCCAAAGTGGGACAGACCAAACGTGGCCTGAGCAGCTTACTGACCAAAGGAGTTCAGCGTTTCCTTTACTGATTCTTTTCCAATTTTTACTGACATCAAACAATTGATGCTAATAAAAAGATGGTTCGGTACCTTACTCCACCATCAACAATAGGCAAGTCTTCAGTCGTCTTAGGTCTGCCTTACTCTGTACAGTCCTGAAAAGATGGGCTCTCAGAGACTTCCTACGAAAGAGCTTCCTCTGCTAAGGGCAATAACTGATCACCAACAACATGCCAATTTCTTCCCGAGTACACTCACCAGAATTTGCCTACTGTCTTACCACTACAAGCTTCCTCAGCACAAATCATGTAAGATCATAGTACTCTGGGCACAAGACCGCATGATAGCGGACATTCTGCCTCTAAGTCCAGAAAGAGCAAGAACATGTAAACGTTTTATCTCCAGTAGAATCTACTCTGTGTTTTAGGCAACCCTGTAGTCACTCTGCAAATACAAAAGACTGATGGCTTATATTCTGCCTTCTTGCAGTCTCGGGCTCTTCAGTCACTGACAGCAGAATGGACTGCTGGAATCAGGAAACAAGGATGATCTTTTGGGCAGGATCTTTGCTTGATTCCCCATGTGCAAAACTTTACGGTTGGTTGCACTCGCCTTGTGAGGGGCAGTAGGAAAGAAGCTTAAAAGGTCATTCCTGCTCACCTCCTCCATCAGCGTTGCTGCTGTACTTGCAAGGAAGCAGACAGGACAGCTACCTTGTTAAGTGACCCAGGCTAGCTCGTGGCTGGACCTAACTTCAACCCCAGCTGAGAGAATGTATTTTTCTATAGAGGCATTTCAGCCACTAACAGTCCACCAAACCTTACAGAAGTAGCCTGCATGAAAGTACCATTCTCAGTTTTCCAGGTGAACTCCTCACTCCATTCACTCCAAGGCCCATCACAATGAGGCATGTTCACCCTTGCACGCATTTTCCCCCTATATTCTGTAGATGGTGCCAGCCTCTGCAGCGTGAAGATGAAGGGAGGTTCATCATTGTTGATATTTAACTTCTGGAGAGTCTGGGGAGAAGAAAGAAGCACAGATAATGGAGGTGAGAGGAACTGCCTTTCCCATTTGCCCAGCAAAGAGAAATCCAGGAGTCCTGCACTTCCTAAGACCTACCTTTTTATATTGGTGGGTTTTCCAGTACTCAACTTCGTATCTCTGTTTTATGAGGCCATATTTGAAAGTGTGTTTTATCCACCTCAGTTCATACTCTTGGTTCCCTGTCACCGTTACTGACACATTTGCAGGCGGCAGCACCTTAACTGGAACACACAGAATGTCTCACAGTCCTTATTAACATACTGGTCCAGCACTCCCTTTCACCAGTGTGAATAGTTTCCAGAGACTGAAAACAATGTTGTTTTATGCAATGTAAGAAGTCTCAGCTTTTTAACACTTCTTAATTCTCTACATCTTCATTTTCAAATACAATAAAACACCATTAGACCATTAAAGAACAGAAAATCCACATCCATGAATGTTGACAGCACTCCCTGTGTACAGAAAAGCAGTAAAGCAATGTTTGAAACATCTGTACTGGTCCACCGCACTTGCAGAGATTTTCAGCTCTCTTGGAGCTACTGCCTGATATTTTCAGCCACTGCAGGAGCTCTCCCAGCTTTAGTCTGTGAAAAGTAGCACCAGTACCTCCAGATACATGCGGGCAGAGACGATCCAGCTGGCACCCCTTACTCAGCAGAGGAGTCCTACCTCATCCAGTGCTCCAGGGGCCACTGCCCAGGAGCTCTGGGTCACAACCCGAGTTTCTACACAGCAGCTTCCACCCCCGCCACTTCCCTCAGAGCAACAAGTGCCACTGAGGAACTCCACACCTACAAGCCACCGCTCCCAGACCTCTGACCTGACACAGTGTCCAGTTCCTTTCGTCATCAGTCCCACTCTCTTCCTCTTCCTACCCGCTTTTCCTCATCACCACTGCCCTCAGCCCCTCTTACCCAGCCAGGCATCTGTCCAAGAAACAACCAGGAGAAGCAAGAAACAACACAGCAACTCACTGTTCTTGTAGGCTTCAATCAGTTTCTCCTCTGTCTTGGCCCGGACAGACACATGGTACTGGCTCTGACTGCTGGAGTTGCTGACCGGGATCTCACAGCTCTGGACTACATACAGGACATGGGGCAAGGCCTTCTCAAGCACAGGAGAGCACTCCTCTTCTCTGAGGGGAAAAAAAGAGCTTGAGCTGACATCAGGGGGTGAATGGGACAGAGCAGAAACTCCACGGGAGAGGCACAGGGGTGCTGCCATGGGCAGAGCACGTACGCTGATGATGGAGTGGCCCTGAAGAACAAGCCAAAGAGGACAGAGGTGGTAATTGCTTTCTTCACTTCCCAGCTGCACATCAAATGGTCTGCACCATTGAAGAGGCAGCGAAGGTTCCTGGGCTGAAGGCCACCTTCAGAGAAGATGAGAGCACACTAAGTGACAGGAAAGGTCTTGCTTCTCAGCCAGCGTTTCCACCCCTGCACAGCCTCGCTCCATCCCACACTACCTTCAGGGGTCTCCCACGATGCCTCCGTGCTCCACTCGCTGTACTGCCCAGAGAAGCCACTGGCCCGCCCCGGTCTGGCTCGCACACGGGCAACATAGCTGCTCCCTGGGACAAGGTCCTCGCGGCTGAGATGGCAATGTGTGGTGTTGGAGAGCAAGAGCGAGGCAGCTTTCTGGTGTTTGGAAAAAGGAGGGAGAGCAGGGAGGGAGGAAATTGGGGAGTTGGGGATATGCATCCTCCTGAAGGGGAAGCAACTTCAAATGAATATCGCCAGCTTCCCACATGAACCCACAGGCTCCTGTTGGAACAGGATTTCATTCCATTTGGGAGAGATTCAGGGGAAAAATCAAATCCAACTCAAAACCCAAGTGCAGTGGGGTTTTTTTCAGTGAAGAATAGATTTTTGCATTCAGTTCAGGACAAATGGTATTTGACTGGGCAAGTCACTTGCAAACAGAAAGAGACCCCCTTCCGCCTGACCTCAAACAACATTTGCTGTACCTCCTCAGAGTGCCTGAGAATGGAAAGGCCATTCATTTGCACAACTTTTACCACAGGCTCTCAACCTCCCAAAAGGGTGCAGCCCAAACCAGGACAGCCCGGCTCCTCCGCTCTTACCTCCCAGGACTCCCACTCCCGCTTGTAAGTGACTTCATACTCCAGGGCATTGCCCAGCCCTTGGCTTCCATCAGCTGCTTCCCAGGTCAGCAAGAAGTCTCCTGATCCCATCAAGCTGACTGAGAGGTTTTGAGGTGGGAGGGTCTGAACTGGAAGGCGAAGGTGCAACCCATGAGATGAGATAGCGAGGACAGGGACATGAAGAAGGGAAGAAAATGCCTAGCTGATGTTCTCTGACAAATTCTGGTTATTTAACAATTTCCGTGGGTTGCTACAAATAATCCATGAGTCTTTTGTTCCACAAAATGCAAACTCTGCCAGACCTGGTAAATATAGTTATGAACAGAAGAGGAAGAAAGGAGAGCAGTGCTGTTGTGCAGCTTTATAGCAACTTTGTGAAAGAATATGCTGTAATGAATGTAGAGCATGGTGCTGAAACAGAAGAGTTTTTTGGTATCTTCCCCCAATCCCAATCAAGACACGGGTTAGCTGGCAGGTCTACTCCCATTTTTTCCATTGTAACCATTGAAGGTAGACTCATTTTTGTCTATCTTGAATGCACTGAATTTGAAGGTGGTAGTATGGCCTTATAGCCGTTTAACTGCTCTCTTGCTTACATTTCAGGTTAAGGGCTGACCTAAGTATCTTTTCAGGATTAAATATTAATACATTAATCTGAAAAACTTTTAAATACTCGAGAATATAAACAAGACTTAATGGTTCATCTTTACCATTCTGAAGCAAGTAGACATTTAGCTCTGCCTGTATTGTCAGGTCAAAATTGAAGGTGTAATATTCTCCATCATGTCCATGTTTGTGACACACCCAATGCATTGTGAAGTTCTGGCACTCAGTGTGGTTTTCACCTTTGTGGGACCTGCAGGTCATTTCTTTGTTCCTGGTTACACAGGAAAAAAACATGACTATCTGAATAGGATGCTGCTAGATGGCTCAAAGGGTGGTTTCCAAAACCTCCCCACATGCCATTTTATTCTGTTTCTAAATCCATGTTTATCACTGCATTATGTTGGCACACTCCTGTAGTTCATTAAGTTACAGGGATAAATTCTCTAATATCAAGCACATCTGCTTTATTCTCTCTTCCTTTCCTCAAAGGAAGATGCACTCACAATAACTATCTTGGTTTGGTAGGTGTCTGGGCCCTGAGCACAACTGCTTTCACACACACCCTGCAAGGGGTTTGGCTACCCATGCTCAAGGCTGTCTTAGCTGGAATCAGCCTGACTGAGGGCTTCCCCACCTTCATTCAGAAGCTGCTTTTAATTGCAGGCCCTTGCCTTTGGTCCTTGCCTGAGCTATGACGCAGCTGTATCTGTGCCTGGTGATACATGTTGCTGATTGTGATCCGTGGAATTGACTTCCTAACTTGACCTGAAGCATAGGGACTTCCTTGGGGATCTGGACCGATGGCTGATCCTGGTCACTCTCACTGTTCTGCTTTTCTTGTTAACTGTGGGATTACACTATTATCAATGAGGTCAATGCCTTGCTGTCACTCTCAGCTCCTAGCTCACCTTCCCTTAGCAAGCAAAGCTTGTTGCTTCCATAACAGTAGGTTTGGCAGTTTACATGTGTACAACTGTCTGTTATACTAAGCTTATGCTAGCGAAGTCAAAGAAGGTAAGCCAAAAAAATGCAGCTAGCAGTTGTGACAGAAGTTTTATGAGGACTATGCTACTGCAGTCCTCCTACAAAAAAAATTTCTTTCCATGCAGACTGTGGAGTCCTTTGTGTCACAGGAACACTTCTGTGGTTTGTAGACTTCAATCCACAGCAAACTGCTAATATTTGGAATGTGATTCAATACTCTTGGGACTGTAAGGGGCACCTTCTCCATTGACTTCAACAGCTGTCAGGTCAAGTTATGAGTGAATCCTACAGCTCTTTCTCAAAAATAAAACCAAGATAACTTCTTCCTATTCTTATTTCACATTTTCTTCCCAACCTCCAATTTCTCTGCTGTTTACCCCTTCATCTCCTGCTTCCACTATTATTCTTTTTCTCCTTCCCCTATTTCTTCCTTCTTCTCTGTCCCTTTCTCTCCCTCGTACTCTCCATTTTGACTGTTCTGTTTTCTTCTTGAAAGGAAGCAGACATAGCAAAAAGATAGTGCAAGACAGCCTCAGTATCTCTGAGAGGAAACCCAATGAGTCTAACAAATACGTACAACTTCTGTTTTTCTCACAGTTTGTTCTGCAGAAATTATTTCAACATAGCTATGCTTTTACTGGCATAAGGAAGAAGAAGCCTTCTTTGCCATTCTGATTAGTTATTATCACCACTGCATCTAGTGTAACACATCCTTCTCCACTTGGGTGCAATAATTAACATGTCCTGCCATATTTTGTGTGTGTGCTCTCACAGCAAAAGCAGGGGACAGTGATTGAAAAGATAATGAAAACAACTTGATTAGCATCCTCTGCTTCCTGTTCTTCCTCATCCTATACAGATCCAGCTTTCTTCCTAGCCTGGACATAACACTGGTGTCTGCAAGCTGGATACTATGGTGGCTGCAAGCCCAGTCCACTGTCCTTTTGCCCAGCTCCATCTCTCAGGTTCAGCAGCCAAGCCCCTTTAGACCCTTCACAGAACACCAGCCAGGCACACACTTACTTTTCACAGCAGTTCAGAGTCACATTCACGAATTGATGAGCCTCTGAACACTCCATCCATGTGCAAGTTGTAAGAGATACATAGTCGCCATAACACTGTAGGGTCTGCATTGGGATGCTCTCTGAAAAGAGGAAACAATCAGGAGATGGATGGGACTAAAGAAGGTAGTGGGAAACGGTAAAACGAACACAAGCTCTGCTACTGTACTGGAGAAGGCAGAAACAGAGAAGTGAGGAGCTGGCTGATGAGATCGGCTGTGAATATCCCCAGTGTTGTTCAGCTCATACCACATGGATTTCACAAATAAAATTTGGCCCTTCATGGGAAAGCCTGAAGGCAAGAAGTCTCCAAGAGCACCTGCTGCTCTTAGAGTAGGCTGGACTGTCATTAGTTGCCATTCATCAGAATTTTAGCGTGAGTCTTAGGACTGAGAAAGCCTCAACTTTTTGACTCTGCTTGTTTGTAAATCAAACTGGTCATGCAAGAAAAGTGAGATTCTGGTCTACAACCTGTGAAGAAAAGCTGGAATTGTTTTATAATAGGTAAAATTAATTTTCAAGAAATATCCTAATTCAAAAGATAAGTCCAAAGGGTTAAGCTTGGTCTTTTCAAGCCTCATTGGACTTCATGCCTTTGTAGAAAAAGGGCCTCATAACACTGGCTAAAACCTCAAACATATCTTCCCCCTTCTGTTCCCCACCCCCCAGACAGGAATCACAGCCATTCTGATACAGTGAACTGTGATCTAAGACTTCAAATTGTACCTCTGTTTCTCTTCCTGAACTGCAGAGGCCTGATGCTCCATGAAACTCCAACACAGATGGGAAGCTGGTCAAGCAAGTGTGAGTATAACACAGAAAGCCTAAAAGAGCAGCTCTCCCCAGTGAGAAGCCTGTTGTCTCCTATGAATGACCTTTCAATATTCCCAGTTGGAGGAATTGAGAGTACCAAGACCAACTGGGCAATGCTGAACGGGGATTTATTTAGCTGAGCACTCACATCAGCATCAGTGTCCTAGAATCCGCGTAATTCTGAGCCCTGGTAAATCTCTGCATAGTTTTGCAATAAACAAGGGTCCAAGCTGAATGGGAAGACCCCCAGGACCTAGGCAGGGTAGTGTTGACTTTTGTACCCCTTAACGACAGAAAGAATCTGGGAGACATATAGAAAAGCAGCTTCTAAGAACACAATTATAGTTTTTAGAAAAGCCAAACAAATGCTTTCACCAATTCACTGCTCTTCTAGCAGTCAAGTGATGTCTCGGTAGAAAGGCAGTAAGTGCAAGATATGGGTGATTTATTGTTTATCGCAAAAGAACAGATGCCTCATTAAGAAGGACATTCAGTTTTGCCTTTGTGGGTTGCTGTCGTGGTAGTGAATACTTTCATGTGCCCACTGAATAAGCCCAGTTGCCTTAGCAAAAGTTATGCCTCCAGGAAGTCAAATGCAAAAGTGAGAGACACCCACTCTGGTTAGCTACAATGACATTTAAGTCACAGAAAGGAGAAAGCTTCCTGACAAGGAAAACATATTTCAAAAATCTAGCTGCTGAAAAATTTGTGTCCCTCTATCAGTAAACAAACATATCTCATAGGTGGATTTGCAGAGAACCTGCTTTTCCTTTTTCTTTTGTGAAAAACCTGTGTGCAAGGAGGAGCCGTGTCTGTGTTGAGGAAAGGTCACTGTTAACCTGGGAACATGAATGTGCCCTTCCCTGAGAATTCAAACTCCAAGAACAGGTGCTAGAGTTGCCTCTGCTGTGACGGGAACTACTGACCCAGGCTCAGCTTGGTTGAGAGCTCTGTTTTTCAGAAACAGCAGCCAAGAGATGGCAAGAAATGATTTTGCTATTCCTAGCAGCCCTAGGGCAGCTGATGCCTAATCTTACAAGAAACACCTGTGCCCAAGTCAAGTCACTTTGAGGTCCAAAAAGTGAAATATGCTGCAAAGACAAGGTTGTTGCAGTCGTTGTGGGGTTATTGCTTGAGAGACCACAGAGTCTGTGGCATTCAGTACTGCAAATCACACATTAGGCAAGGGAGCATAATCCTCCCAAGTGCCAGAGATACGTGTCTATCTCTGGAAAGTTAGATGTGCAATGGGTACATTTTTCAATACCTTTTATTTCAATACCTTTCATTCAATACCTCAGAGCCTCCAACACTTATGAGTAATGACTCAGTTTCTCACTTGCACAGGTGCTGTGCCTCTGCTCTGCCAGCTGTGTTACCAGCTGAGACTCTCAGCTCCCTGTCTCTTAGGAAGCAGTAAGCCCTCGCTGTAAAGAAAAAGCAAGTATCAATTGGAGGCAGGACAAGTCAACAGACATAACGAAGAGACACCTATTGCGGAGGAAAAAAGGCAGGTTGGTAAAAAAGTTTTCTTTTGGTATAAACCAAAATGATATCTAACGATGGGACAGGCAAAGTCAGAGCTCATACTGGTAATAGTCAGGCCTACTCAGATGTGAAACTTCTTGACAAGTCAATTTAAATAAATAGACTAAGAGGCTGTGAACATTGTCTAGCCCATGAAGTTTAGGGTCTTGCCTAAATACCATTCACAACTCTCCCACTGACATACAACTGGAGTGTTTGGGATAGCCCTGGTAACTACATATGTGTACGCTCTCAGAGTGTCCTCTTTCTGGCACCAAGATGAAAGTAGAAAATAAAGGGAGGATGGAGAAATATCAGGCTAAAAGAAAAGGAACAATAATAGAAAAGAAAGGAGGAAAAAATAGAGGCAAAGAGTCTGAAACTCACCTCGAATAGTTCCAACCCCCAAAACCAAGCATGGAGCCAGAAGAAGACTGATGAACTCTCTCATCTTCACACCTTTGCACACAAGCATGATCTTATGTCAGGCAACAACTCCCTGCATCACTGGCTGTTCTTCCTCAAATGCATGCTCAACAGCCACTGTTCTTCCTTCTTTGTCACTGGTTGTAGCTGAAAGCAAAACTCATGTGGTTAGCTGGGTGGGTCTTGGGCCTTCTGTTGGCCCCAAACTACTTCTTCCACCAACACTGATGTGATCTCTCAGAGTAGCTTCATATGAAGGTAATTTATTAATGGGAAAACTTTCTGCCTCCTCGTCAGAGGACAAGAACAAAGCTTGCTGTTTGAAACTAATGGATTTTCTACCTCCTTCCTTCACCTTGAGAAGAAACAAGCCCTAAGTTACAAGAAGGAATTAATTATCTGTGTTGATTCACCTATCTGATCCATACAAAGTATACCCTGCTGTTTCACTGAATCGTGAACCTGTCCAAAAAGAAACACTTCCTTGCCTCTCTTACCACTCCTACTCACAAAATTGTACTTCTGGTCAACTGAGAGAACCAGTCCTCCTATTTCTTCACCTTCAGATCTGATTCACAGGGCTTTTAAGTTCTTGTTTGTTTGAGGAGAGAGGGATCCTTGCCAATTCCTTCCCCACAGTAACAACACATTTGCCTTATCTGAATGCTGAATGGTCTTCAAGGCAGGTGCTTCACAGCAAGCGGTTAGCTGACTTTCTCATTTATCACTCACATGGAATTGGTGCAAATGCAACTGCCAGCGGGACACCCACAGCTGTACCCCTTCAAAGGAGCCTGAGCTCTACCTCCCTCTCAGTTGTGCTGTTGTAGTCTTCAGCATGAGAGGCATGTTTGTTTTGTTCTCTCTGACCATTCCTGTTTACAGTAGAGGTCCAGCAACTAGGTTCCTGATCTGTATCTATATCTAAGAAGAGGGAAGGAAGTACTTTGTTATATTTTGCTTAAACAATTTCCAAGAAATGTGACTAATTGTTCCACAAAGAAGATGTAATCATCTCTTAACAGAGGCTGAAATTTGCTGCTTGTTTTCTTTTCTGTTTATCTGCACTCAAAACCTGTCCTTTAAATCATCATTCTCCTTGTGTGCATTGTTTTCTGAAAGGAAAACTAGTTGCCATAAAGTTAAATGGTCATTAAATAAAACATTAATTTACATTGTGAATGTTGTCTTAAAGACACATTGCTGTTGCTAAGCCTGACCTGGATAAAACTGTCTGCGTCCCAACAGTAGCACTAGAATTGTGGATTCTACTTAAACCAAATCCACATTGTTAAGGGATTAAAATTCAAGCCACTCTCTGATTACATATTTTAATTTAAGTGATAATATCACTCCGCATCAGTAGAAGTGAGGAAAATATACTCAAATGGAGACAGTGTAATTTAACATATATTTAGATCTTCCTTTTAATCTTAGGAAAAAAAGGAAGGGAAGTGGTGGCATCTAAAGAAGTGAGAGGTGGTGAAATTTCTTACGCTTTCTCTAACCTAACCTGCAGTCTCTGTGAAGAGACTACTATAGTTTGGGGCAGTACCTTTATCACTTAAAAGTACCTTTATCAATTAAAAGTACCAGACTTCAACCAACTTTGGATTACATCCTCCACAGCATACACAATTTCTTAGAAATCAGTGGCAGCTGGAAGTGCATTAGAAAAATTTTTGAAAAGCTAAAAGAAAAGCAGAGTAAGCCAAAGCAAGGAAGAATAAGGGAAAGCTACTTCACAAGTATTTTCAGGATATTCTATGCAAGTGAACATTGCACACAGTACATGGAGTTGAGCTTGAGAACGGAGGCTTTTTGTCTTCACAGTCCCCAAAGGGTACACACACACTCTCCTTCTCTTCATGCGTCTTTCACAGATAAAACACGAGGTGTAAGCTTATTCCTTCAGTTTCTTCTGAACAGGCAGAATTATCCCACTTACAGACCTGAAGAAAAATGAGGATTGGGAGTGAATACCCATGCACTATGTCACTTGAAACTTCAGTCATTCATAAGTAATCGCTTTTTCTTCTTTTCATGCTTGTTAAGCACATTCACACTCTGTGTGATTCCAAGCAGTACTCTGTTACTCCTCTCACTTAATTTACTCCAATTAGGTTTCAGCATCCCTAGGCACAAAGGATCTACCTATCAGATGGATTGCTTCTGCAATAGAGCAATGCTTGGTGAATGTGAGATTAAAGTTCCTTTGGATGGAACGGAGGCGTGCCTCTTCAGCAAAGCTGCTACAGTAACTTGAGCTTGCATGGAGTGTGACCGGAGCAGTGATAGCAAATTCACCGTGCTAGTCCAACAGCAGAGTCTGACACCATCAGTTACCTTGTTAGTTTGAACAGAAATCACTGTGCCAAGACATACCTATGCTACAAAGGTCTGAAGAGCTTTGGCTTCGGAAAGTTAAGAGGCAGCTTCCTCTATATAATCAGGCTGTGAAGTGATGCCTTTCTTTTTAAAGGCCTGACAAAGGGAGCTAACTGGCATCTTAATTACCTATCTAAAGTGAAATCCAGTATCAACCTTTAGCAGCAACTTAGGGTAGAGACTCAAGAAAATTATTCTGATACAAAGACCAGGTAGGAGGGATGAGTCTAAATCCCTGGATTTGTCCTGCTCTGTTTACTGAGCCATAGTGAAAGCAACTTTCATGGGTATATATAAAAAGCAGTGAGCAGATTGCCATAAATTCATTGGTAATCTCTTCAGGACTACTGGGATGGGCTCTTTGACCAGAAAGACTTTAATTAATCCTTTCAGAAAACACAGAATTGTGAATTGACATGACAGCAAAAGGCCATTTGTTAGTCAGTTAAAATTTTTTATCCCAAAGTGAGATGTAACTTGACTGAATGGATGGACAAGTCAAACCTTTCAGCTCCAAGACAGGACATGAGGATGAAGCCAAATCATCCTTTAGACACTGTGTGGGTCTTGTCATATCTGTATAGGCCATCCCTAGCCTCTCTTGCACTCAGTGGAAGTTCTGTCTGGCATGCGATGTCACAGATTGATATCACAGTAGCCAGGTACCCCTGAGTGGGCCAAGTGGACCTCATCTGCTGGATCTGGTCTTCACCCCCAGGAGGAGGTCACCTCCCAAAAAGTGCTCCTGAGTGACTTGAACGCTAGCCATCACTGTGCCATGAGTTACTCAACAGGTACCACATGCAGCAAAGGCTGACAGGTGTCTTAAGTAGGATGGCATCCCTTCAGGAGCCCAAAAAGGAAAATATCTCCATTTCTAATAAAATTAAGATCATTACCAAGTAAATAAAAACATGGACAAACATTTTATTAGAAAAGATGCATGCAGTTGAAAAGATGGCACATACCACGAGGAATCTAGACATTCTCTTAGTAAGTGCTAAGAAAGACCCAATAGTTATTGCCCACATGCACACCACCAACAAAGAAACAGCAGGCAAGAGGTGCTGAAAGCAAAGTTTAAACCAGGAGGCTAAAAATGCGGTCCTACATAGTAGCATTCTTCAGTGGTCCTGGTTATATACTCTGTGTCAGATAACAGAGGCTCAGTGCATGAGTGATTAAACTGTGTAGGGAAAAGGGGATTATTAGCATCTGGTAAATTTTTGAAGCAGATTAAGTTTATATAAGATGGGTTCCACCTAATCAGAACAGAATCAGTGCTGCTGACATTTAAGATTAAAAATGCTATGAGGCAATTTTAAAATGAAAACCAAGGAAATCATGCCAGATGTGGAAAGTAAATTGTTCAAGATTGATACATCTGCATGGTCTGAAATCACAGAAAGCCTATGACTTAGAAAAATGGATAGAATAGAAGGTAAGAAAAAACCAAAGAAAAACAATAACCCAGGTAAGCAAAACATATAAAACTATGCAACTAAATCAAGACAAATGCCCAAATATGTCTATACAAATACTTCGCTTTTAAAATACAGTTTAAACAGCAGAACCATTGCCAAATGCCTTTAAAAAAAAAACAGGCATTATGGAAGTTAGATGAAGATATTCAGTGGAACACTAATACATTTTGTACATGAAGAGTAGTTTGCATTTACACATTAATGCTAAAGAAAGTATGGTGTCAAACAGAGTATGTGTCAACAGTTGTGTTGTACTGCAGAATTTCAATGCCTGCAGAATTTAATTCCACACTAAAAGGAACGGTATGCTGTTAGTGCTGTGCTACGCTATCAATCACCTGAGCAGAAGGAGGTGAGTGAAATGCTAGAGGCAACCAGAGACCCTGAAGGGCAGACAAACAGTAACAACGGGACAGCCCAATCATACTAGACTAGGTAAACATCACAGTGAACCGTGATGAGGCTATGTCTCCACTGGTAGACTAAGCCAGGACAAGGCAAAGGTCTGAGCTCTGGAATGAGATCATAGACTCCACTCATGCTGCCAAACGCTTTGACATGGCCTTTGTCTATGTCAATGAGCAAGCCAGGGACAGTTTCCAATATGAAGTGTGGAAAAGGCCACCTTATACTGCTGGGGAAAGAGCTTGGATACACAAATCTTCCATGACTGCACCATGTCAATTGCTCTTACAGCCCAAAATGGACCCTGGCCTACTTTATTTGCTAGTATGGATCTAGTCACAGATTCTACTTTTTTAGCCACTATAAATGATTGCTTCTTGGAGCTATTTGTGAAAGCACTCACGAGAAAGAAACAAACTGATTTAGTCCTGAATAATATACAAGACCTAGTACAAGCTGAAACAACAAAAGACACAAGTTTACTACAATAATGTTTTAAGGCCATACATAAAAATAACAAGACTGGCAAAATAACCTCAAGAAGCTGTTAAAGGGATCAAATGTTTGCAGTGCCAAAGGGGCTGTTTAAAGAATCATTTAAAAACTTAAAAGCGAACTTAGGCCTTTTGTAAGTCTACCCATGCTATAAAGGTAGGGTTATTGTAGCCTTAATGTTCTGAAACAGTAAATGAGGCAAGACATACAGAGAAAAATGATAACTTATAATGATCTTTTCCAACTAAATCTTTCAGTTTAATAAAACATAATTACTTTCCTCACAAGCCTTGCATAACCTACATTCTTACTCAATTGCTTTAATGTAATAAAATCTATAAAGGAACTTAAAAATTCAATTGCCGAACAAGTAA